TATATATATATATATATATATATATATGTGTATATATTATGTGTGTAGGGTGTAACTCAATTACACGTAGATTCAGCGGGACGTTTATTTTCTTGCGGTGCAGATGGTTCTATGAAAGTTCGTCAACTGCCAGAACGAGACTGCGTTGTACACACATATTACTGAGGTATGTAATAAATGACTAGATACGCAATTGTTTGTGTGTGTGTGCGCGTGTGCGCGTGCATTTTCTTAAATTAAGTATAAATTAATGATGCTTTATTCTTTTTCAGATAATCAATCCAACTATACTATTTATGTACTATATAGTGCAGACTGCCTTCAACCTGGGGCAATTAATAAGTAAATGTTAAGTCCCTTGTAAGATAAATTGAGCAAAGAAAGACAAGAGTTTTTCAACTGACAGTCATTATCGTAAAATTGTTGTCAACTATAAATGCGTATTTTCTTTAAAATCTATTTCGATAATGATCACTTTTCTCTTAAATCTTAATGTCTTTTTGAACCGAATGAATACTACAATCTCGATTAAATCGATACACTAAGTCATTCGATGTCCCATTACGATTCATTTCGTTAATCTGTAAGTGTACTGAAAGAGGCATATATATATATATATATATATATATATATATATACGATCCAGCATAATAGTTATAAATTCATTTGGCAACTGTACTTGACAAACTTAAATAGCTAAAACAGTTAATATTTTGTCAATAATATTGACTTGGCACATATTTTCAACTCGATGTAAATCTTGATTGACTATAGAAACATTTTCCTCCAATACATTTCTTTAATTTGCATTATACATGTAAAAAGCAACTAACATACTATAAAATAATAGTGCCGTAGAAAAAGTAAGAAGGAAGTATTTACAGAGAATGTGCATGGAAGGCATATTAGGATGAAAAAAGTATATAAAAGCCTGCTCAGATTAAGTATTTGGCCAATGAATACACACTCAGTATCAAAAACATCAGTTATTAAAAAGTAACTAAGGTCAAACAATGTTTTCGATATTATTTCATGAATTGAAATATTGTTCCAGTTAAAGTGAACTCTGTTGCTACATAAAGTAATTTAACAACTTTACATTATAATTTATTTATTTAGAGCTACTCGACGCTCCAATTAAAGATTTTAACAATAACTAATGTTTTTTTGGCTGTTGATAGAAAATGAGTGAAATGTATTTATTTACGCGTAACATATTTAAACACAATTGTTATTTGTGGCAATCTATTTATAAAAATCATGTACAAAGCAGAAAATTATGTTACTTTGATTATTAGCAAAGAAATCTAAAGAAAACATTGCAAATTTATTTGATTATTACGTGTGCATGCACATAAATTTACATATGTGTGCATATTAAATATAAATGTGTGTATGCTGAGGTTTGAGTAAAAGTGCTGGGTTGCCTTAATTATGACAAATCGCTTGTTGCTACAATTTAGTATAAAATCGACTCTCAACTGGACACACATAAAATGTATAACTTGTAATATATGTAGTTACAAATGCCTTGTTTCGTATATCACGTGTGAGTTAATATAAGAAAACTGTTACAATATTGTTGAAAATATATTTAAAAAATACTATATATGATATGTGTGATGCCTAGTTTCAAGAATTGACTGCGACAGTCATCCACAGCCAACTCCTTTAAGTAACTTGATAATGAACTGAATAATGTAGACATATCTACAGCATATGAATAATAATAAACGTAATAATAATACAAGTTACATAAAAGAGGGATGAACAAAACCAGACAATGTCTTATATCTCATTGATTAGTAGTATAAAATACATATATTTGAATGAAAAGATCTGAATTTCCAACACTGTTTTAACATAAATAAATAATAGTCGAGTTCATTTTTACGCTTGCAGACAAAATCATTGACATATTGACATAATATTTATTTTAAAGAAAGATAAAATAAACAATATGTAATGTACACTGACATGTATATATTATTTGAAGTTTAAAAAAGTAAATGTATAAAATGAATTTATGGAAACTGTATTAATATCAGAGTATTATTAGCTATTCCAAAATAATTTATTAGCTTAACAATGAAAGTGATAGTAATAAATAAAGCATTGGTTTATCAAGAAAATATTTTAGTGATTCAGTTTTCTTTTAATTTTATTAATAAGTTTCTGTTCACTATTATTCGGAAGTAAATATTTTAATTTAAAACTCCTGCATGATTTGGCAACACAACTAAGTTTATTGACTAAATAGTCTAAATAAATATATTACACACATTGATGAAATTGTATTCAAATTTCATTTAAAAAATGTGTTTTAAGCTTACCGTGTTAGATAAATAGTTTTTAGATATTTTTTTTTTATATTTCTAATTTTCATTAACGAATGGTAATTTCACATCGATTTTACAAATTTGCATGCAAAACTAAGCATGAAAGTTACTTACGAAAAGCTAAACATAAATACTAAAAATCTTTAAATAGTAGAAAAATGTCATTTATATATATATATATATATTCCGGCATTCAATTCGGGATTTACAGTAGTTTTGCAAGAATATAAGAAATTGGGCAAATTTATTGGAATGTACTACGTTACAAGTAATATAATATCCAAAATTTATTAATTATTTTTCTATTATTTTTTCGTTCTTTACAAATGATTACTTAAATACAAACAAAATAATTAATAAGCAATGTTCAATCGGTTTATTCGTATATTAGGCATAATATACTTTTCCGCGTGTTTGCGTGTGTAAAGTTTTTTGTTACAGATATAGTTAATATAATTCAAACGACTCATATATTTTTATGATTCTGAAATATTTGCCGATAGTCCGTAAAATTGATATATACGGATTTTGTTGAAAGCCCTGGGGATTCGAATAGTACGTGAAATTGAAATTTTCGTTTAAAATCTTATCTCACATCGTCATAATAATCTTTGCAGTATAACGGATCCTGACTATTAATTGCAAACGATGATGAATTTTACATGTGATGAGCAATGGCTGATATATTATTCGCAAAGCATTAATTAGACGCTAACGATTAGTTTAATTTAATATTTATTACATTATATTTTCATTTGGTATGCCTGTGATGATATCCAAGAGATTGTGATTTTGATAAGATTTCTAACCGTCTATAGAGCCTAAATCATCATAAAAATTTCAATTTTATCCACGATAGAATAAAGTTTTGAATTTGCAACGGAAGAGAAAACGCTTTTAATTTGTAAAAAAAAAAAAAAAAAAAAAAAAAAGAAAGAAATTAACGTTAGGATTCATTAATTAAGCAATTGTTTCAAAATATAATTGTAAGTTTTATTTAAGGTACTCTTATCGATGGTAATAGTCAAAGAGTGGAGAATTTAAGGAAATACAATGGTTAAATTAATTTTTGCCATTAAATGCACTAAAGTTTGAAAAATCAAATTGACCAGATACAACACAACGACGATAAATGGGCAATTGTTATGCGTGGAGAAACGAAAGCCAAGTAATTCATGACTCAGGATTAAGTATTGACATGAATGACATGTACTCAGAACATTAAAAGTGTTGCGATTGATGTAGGCCACATGCTCGGTAATTTCAAAACACATAATAAAAAACATAACAGCAAAGAACAACGGATAGTAAACGGATTATATAAAACATTTTCTTCGAGGAGCCTGTAATATGCTAAAAAATTCACTTCATCTGCAAAATGATTGATTACATTTTTTAAAATCTTATGCTTTGCAATTTTAACGAACGAACTATTAGAATTTGGAATGAGCTAAACACTATGTGAACTTATTTGAGCAAAAGGTCAGATATACGAGTTCAGTCTCCTATTTCGTTTTATCAAAGAAAGTCGGCATTATTTCTGGTTCTCTGGTTCTCTGGTTCTCTAATTTCTCGATGATTCAGATTTCTTACGATGAATTTTACTTGTTATCGTATAATATATTACAGCTTAAAGTAGTTGATATCTTTTATTGTAAAACTAGTTATAATAATAATAATAATAATAATAATAATAATAATAATAATTTAAACGTATTATTAGTAATAATGTGGTTAATTAATTAATCTTATTTTCGTTTTCAACGTTTATTAAACTATTAAATCATATCGTCAATTACTATTTCAGCAATAATAAAATAAAAGAATACAAAATACTTGCCGTTGTACTTTGAACACAATGAACAAATGATATTCGTATTTTCCGCTAATGATATCAGCAATACCAAAACTATGGTGAAATTTTCGATTCTGCGCCAAAGCAAATACATTAGTATATTTTCAATCTTTATTCAATGTAAGGCTAATCGAGGATCAATGCCGCATCCTGATGTTGATAGCTTTACAAGACAAATTAACAGTAAATAATACCATATGCATTTTGTAAATGTTTGTATGATAAGATCTTTCCGTATTGTATAACTCTTTACCGTCTTAATCCGTTTCTATTAATTGCACAGAAAATCCTGTGTGTCGAACGAGCAATGTAAGTGAATAATTCTATTCTATCTTCGTGCATCGATAAAATAATGTTGAGCACTGATAAATCATAAAAAATAAAAATTAAAAGCCAGGGTAACAGACTATTTATACAATTTATGTATGAAGTATATCAACTTTGCTGTTCGAATTCATAGTTAACGCAAGTTCGTAGTATATGCTGATAGCGCATTGTTATTATAATTTTTCCGTGGTAATCGGTTTTGTGATATATCGAAAGTAGAAAAGTAATTATTATATGTAATATATCGGATCTCGACTGCTTATAAAATCTAATGATAATACGAAAAATATAAATGGTATTTGCGATCATTTTTATGACGTGCAATACGTAAGAGGTTATCTAATGTTGTAGAGCTTAAATGGAATATTTAATTTTTAGAAGTATATTGGTAATCTAAACAAAATCAAACATCCATTCGTCATTAATGTAAAATAATCAAGTTTTTGTTTTCATCTTACACAGTACTTGGGTAACATACTATGGATGACATTGTAGAGGACCCTATTAGAGTACCCTATTTAAATAATTCGCTAATAGAAATTAATCCCTCGCGTAAGCATGAGAATGAAAGAAACAGATTACCAGCAGTTTTTAATATGCCTTCGCAACACACTAACGATCATGTACTTAAACCATATATTCATAATGACCAACAAATTGACGACGATGCTCCGTTGGATGATAATGGTAATGTATCGAAACGGTTGATTGTCTTTCTTCTATGATTTTTACCAAAACTGTGTTTTTCATATATAAATTGTATAGTGGAATATTACATCACTCGAGGATGCGGTATTGTTAGTATAATGACAGAAAATTTATTGATGCATCCGTTTCTTGTCTTGAGAAGGCAATGTCAAGTTAATCCAATATCTAAAAAATATCATGTATTCCCAGTAACCTTATTACCGATAATAATACGATTAAATCAAACACAAGGTATATGTACGTTATGGAAAGGTATCGGTTCTGTTTTAATTGTCAGAGGATTGTCAATGGCCATAGAAGACTTGATATCAAAAGTTACATACTTGCCTAAGTAAGAGAACTCATTTTTATCTTTTAAAAAATACTTGTAAAAATTATTTCAATAATTCATAAATAATAGATGAACAAAAGCACTAGTGGCTGATAATAGATTGATTTTAATTACAATTTTAATATAAACTTGTGATTCAATTGCGATGTGCAATTTATAAGAATATTGTATATTTCAGAGAGATTAGCGGTGCGTCAAATAAAATGTTTTTCCAACATATTATTTTAAAATGTGTTGCAATTGGTATGGTGACACCATTTTATTCGGCGTCATTAATAGAGACCGTTCAATCGGATGTCGCATCTGAAAAACCTGGAATTTTAGATGTTTTCCGTGATGGAATGAAGAGGCTGCTGGAAGTAAGAAACAAAGGACGACTTATTCCAATTCTTGCATTACAACCACCGACAATTGCATGTGGCGTTCTCAAATACCTCTTTAGTCTTTTAGTTAAATCAATTGCAGGTCATATCATAAGAATTAACCATAAATATAGCCAAAAGTCTCGGGTAAGATATAATTGAAATTAATTTTTGCTTTTAGAAACATAGAGATTTTGTTAAATTCCCATTAAATTTCCAGGGCGCTTACAGTAGAGTCTATATAGCTACCACAAAAGCAGATAACATTGAATTCCAATCTATATTAATTTCATTGTGGACTGCAGAAATAGTTTTTTATCCTCTTGAAACAATTATTCAAAGATTACATTTACAGGGGACACGTACTATAATAGATGATTTGGATACAGGACGTAGTGTCACAGCTATGTTGACCGATTACAGTGGAGTCGTACATTGTTACCAAACTATTATTTCTACAGAAGGTGTATTAGGATTGTATAAAGGTTTTGGAGCTCTGATAATACAATTTGCTATTCATACTTTAGTTTTAAAAGTCAGTAAATGGATTTTCACTGAAATAGGTACTATGATGAAATCAGAACAAACATCATCTAAATCACATAATAAGCTTTATTAATGAATTTTACCTATGATTCTTTAATTATTAAATGAATTTCCTTTCATTTCATTTATTTTAATAATGAGTTGTATATATTAAGTAATATTTCTATAAACTGTTGATGGAAATTCAATATTTGTAAATATAAATCCAATCTGTTTTTACATGTATTAGTTTTAGATGCTAAATACATATTATGCTGTTAAAATATTAAATAATGCAATTATTAAATTAAATTTTATCATTAATGAAAAGAACGTTTATGATTTATGCTTTTTTTTTTTATTATTATTATTTGTTTATTTTTATTTATTTATTTGTTTGTTTATTTTAGTTTATTATCATTATTATTATTATTATTTTATTTTTTTTTTTAATAGACTTATTATAAATGTAAGTATTTATACAACATAAGTTAAATATTGTATTTTCAGAAGATTGTTTTAATCTTAAAATAACAGTACTTACAAGTCAAAACGTTTTTTTATCCATGAAATGTTATAAAAGAACGTACTTTAGATATATCTAATTCTTATTAGAAATTAAAGATGGCTTTGAATCCTTATAAGATATTTTATTTCTTTACATTTTATTTTCTCATAAAGTTGCATTTACTATAGAATAAACTTTTAAATTTAGATTTTTTAAATTTTCTAAGCGTCGTTTTGTAAACGTTTTTCATAACTTATCTACTGCTATGTACAATATATTACAAATAATCTTTATCTATCTACTTAGGATCGCATAAAAATAATTTATTATTTTTAATTGCACCGTCAAAGATGCACTGAATTAATATTTTGAATTTGTATTCTTCAAACTTTTGTTGCATATGCAGTAATTTTCATAAACTGGCAATACCATCGTTAATAAACTATTTAGGTTTTACCTACTTGATTACAGAAATGTAATCGAAGAATTTAGGATTATTTTCAGATTCTTGGTGCAATTAAGAGAGAACCCCACAATGCTCATCAATAATTTTAAGCATTAATTAATTTATATTTAGAAATTAGAAACACAATTATCTACACATTCATGTACATGCACGGATATAGAAACTACTAGATAGTATTGCCAGTATATATTCTTAATTTGATTATTTTCAATTTAAATTAAATACAGCAATGATCAAATAATCTTTTAATTTTTCTATTAAAAATTATAGACTCTATATATCACTGATGAATTTCGTACAAGAGAAGAATCAGTATAGATCCGCGTAAACGTCTCAATTTTTACTTTTGTTAATTGTGTACGTGCTGCGCTTGTTGAAGCTCATCCTCGGCAGTAGCTTCACCTCCTCTTCGTACATATTGAGGTTTCTCTTGACCTCTAACACAGCCTTCCGTTACATGTACAGTCATTACGTTGCTTCCTGGAACGTCGAACATTGGTTCTAATAATAGCGATTCCATTATAGCTCTCAGGCCTCTTGCTCCAGTTTTCTTTTCCATTGCCAGACATGCTATTGCATCTAATGCCTCTGGAGTGAATGTCAACTCAACCTGCAATGAATTCGCAATTAAAATCTTTCTTCAAATGCGAATGAAAATACAATAATTATCATTTTTATATTAGTAATTAAATTTTTCATATCTATTAATATTTTAAATTTCACAAACAATATGCAGTATGCGCAGTTTTTTTAATATACTCATGTGACATTAGATAATTGTTATGTTATTTTTAATCGCCGAAGTAATTTGCTTTAAGTTTATAAATAAACATTATCGCTAACGTTATTATTGTTGCATCAAACTTTTTGGCATAATTATGATTTTATTTATCATAATTAATTTTTGGCAAAAGTAAAAAAGTATTTGAAGGATAGTATTGAGAAGTGATACTGAAGCGATATGAAGGAAATTATCGTCAAATTCACAGAGAAGTCGATGCCTTTGTAACATGACAGCCGTGTATGCCTCGGACATGTAAACACGGTTCTGCTCGAATACATGTACGATATCTTAGATATGATGTTATGCAGTGCGAATGCGATTTTAATTAAATGAAGATAAATTAGGATGCACAGGGCTTCTTAAATCTATAATTATAGGTTTGCAAATGAATATACCAACGCGGTACGTGTATATATATATATATATATATATATACACATACTTAAGCGGTTGAGTATAATAGGATAAAATGTAATTAACATGTATTATGAAATAATTTGTTTAATATTACATCTATATGTCACATTGTATCACTCATATTTCTCTTATTTAATGTATTGCGCAAAAAATGAATTAAATCAACTAATATTAGAAATGAAAAATGTTAATAGAATCGATACTCTTAAATGCATGTCTATGTCTCGAGGTAATTGCTTGCTTTGCTTCTAGTTTCACAAAATGATAGAAAATAACCCTCACCCTTTCAAAGTAATTTTAATAATTAATGCTACTCATACTGTACTTAGTCTATAAAAATTCTGAATAAATTATATAAATACGTATGCTTATATACCTAAAAATAGATGAATATAACACGCCTAAAAAATGCCATTATCTTCTACCATTACTTCACATGAAAGGACAAATTCGAATAGTCCTTGTTATATTAGTATTTCTAAGGTAAAAATAAAGCGCCAGCATAATTTCATAAATAATATGATTATACGAATGTGTTAAAGATATAACTATGATCATTAAACTTTGACTTTTTGTAATAACGTAAGAATTCCTTTAAGAAGACTGACGATAGTTGCACGAAATAATAATAAAACTTATCACACTTTCCACTTTCTCTTAAACTTTCATTATTGACCAAATAACGTGATTGTAATTTTTCTTATTCTTAAAATTTTTTTATTATATTCTGATACTAAATGTTTATACGCATTTATTAATCACACTTACTTTGTCCATGGAGAACAGCATCTGATATTGTGGTATCATAGCATTTTTAGGTTCCGTTAGAATCCTAACCAGCATTTCTCTATTCAAAGTGTGGAAAGGTACAAGAACTGGGAATCTCCCAACAAATTCTGGAATCATACCAAAGTCAATTAAATCTCTCGCTTCTACGTGTCGAAGAAGTACGTCTTTTTCTTTATTATCATCTTCCGTTGATGGTGACATATTAGCTACGTCAGCAAGACTGGCTGCTCTTCTGCCAGGACTCTCAGAAACAGGAGTAGCGCCAAAACCGAGATACTTTTCAGTTTTTCTTCGCGAAACTAGTCTATCTAAGCCATTGTAGGCCCCAGAGGCCACAAAGAGGATATTTGTTGTATCTATTTGTAATGTTTCTCCCCTAAGCTTCCTAGAACTGTTTTTCTCCGGCACATTAACTATTGTGCCTTCCAACATTTTTAACATTCCTTGCTGGACACCTTCTCCACCTACATCTCTTAATTGATGTATGCCTGGCACTGCTCCTATTTTATCTACTTCGTCTAAGAATACGATTCCCATTTGTGCTCTGTCAACAACGTAGTTGGCATCTTGAAGCAATTTTGCTATTACACTCTCAATATCATCTCCAACGTATCCTGCTTGAGTAAGTGTAGTGCAATCGCAAATGGCAAATGGAACATCAAGACACTGAGCTATTGTTTGAGCCAATAAGGTTTTTCCAGATCCAGTAGGACCCAAAAGAAGTATATTACTTTTTTCTAATTTTAATTGATGATGTTTGCTGTCTAATATATCTGAGCCTGGAACAGTCTGAGAACCAGAAGCTGCTTTTTGTTGATCATTAGGAGGTACGTGTTGAAAGCCAACTCCTAATGAATTTCCAATACTCGAAATATGAAGAAGGTCTATAAAACAAAATATAAATTACTTTTATCCTTTTCCATAAATCAAATAAATCCTGCTTAAAAACTACTGCACAATATAACTGATAATGACTAAATCTTTATTTACGTGGTTTGAGACCTCTGTGAGTAAATGGATGA